ATCCACGCACTACAGGTCAGCTCGCAGAGTTTCTCCACTTCCACAGAAGTGGCTAGCAACCTCAGTTCTTACGATTTCTCTATTGCAGCGTATCAGGGGCTCTAAGCAAGGTGCGCAGCACCTCAGCTTCGCAAGTATATTGCATCTCATTTCATCCCCCCCAGCCGCCACATCTCTCTCGTCTTCCTATTTTCCAGGCCCTCATAAACTTTATCATACTTACTACCTACCTTCTTAACAGTCTCACGATCTCACCAAAATATTTCATTCAGAAGGGAGGCAAGTTGCAGAAACAAGTACGTCCCATCGCTGCTCATCGTCTCAGTTTACTAGTACAATACATTTTTTACCCCTTCACCTACACCACTTCGATCCTTCGTGTCTTCCGCGTCATCCTCGTAGCACCCTTCCAGGCAAAGTCACATATATCAACAAGCTACTTCCTAGATTGAAACCATATCCAAGTTACTTTATCGTTCCTAACCACCCCATACATTTTCACTCGCACCACCGCTTTAACACACCTTGGCGACACTAGTGCTTGCCATGGAGAACTCTTCAGAGATCATGGTGTCATCCCCATCCTTCGAGGAGAGCCCTCCATCATCGCTCAGTTCCGAGCGAGTCCCCGAGGTACGAAGCTCTAGGGTACGAGAGTGGTCCCAGTTCGAGCTCGATACGGCGTGTGCCCTAATCTGCAAGCACGAGCACCGTCAGACCTCCAAAAGACGCTTTCGCCGCGGGGACACGGAAGGTAAAGACTCGGACGAAGACTGGGCACTCCAGTTTGCCACGAAGTTGAATGAGGCTCTTCACGGCGTCGACGAGTATCGGTACGATATTCCAGTTGCCGATGTGTGCGAACTTATGGACTTCATCGAGACAAAGAACCAGATTTTTATGGCATACATCAGCAGACAGCCAACCCCATTCCGAATCACACGCTCAAAGAAGTACGCGTTCCAGCGTCTATGCAACGATTTTAACAATGCCCTCTACAAGTGGACCGTCATGCGCCGGGAGAGACGTCAAAACACCAAATTGAGAACTGACGAAGAGATATACCGGTTCGATTCGTTCGATCGCTACTTATCAAACCCCATTCAAGGTAAATCCATATCTAACTCGCAAGATCAATGTCCTCGCCCAATTCTTGATAACCTGTGCCCTCCTTGTCTCATACTTTCCAACCTCCCGAGCCATCAGACTAATACTTGGTACTTAGCAGACGCTTATCTTCTCGGCGCTTCTCGTATCCAGAAGATTCCAGATGCGGGATCATCTGCCCCAGCCGAAAGGGGCTGGATATCAAACTCCGTATACGCTCAACGAAATCGCGAGGGCCCGAATACCAACAGCACTTCAGGCTCGTCTCCAGAGGCTCACTCGTCTCAATGCCCTATCCTTCCAGCACAACCAAGCCGTCGGGTTTATCGTCGCCTGAACCAGCGCGGAGTCATTCCTCCCCCACCTCCGGCGCCCTCGTTGCCTCAGCCTACCCAATACGAGCAGATGAACATACAGCAACCCAAGTCATGTGACATTACGAGCTCCGAGGGTATAGGCGCCGACGTAAACAACCACCCAACAAGGCCCGCTTACTATAGCCACCTTGACCCAGCCTTCTTAGCTACGTCCTATCCCCCGAGCTCTCCGACTTGTTTCGGCCACCCCGAGCTGCGCCAAAGCATTCATCCAACAGGCCCGAGGCCTGAGACTCCCATAGTCATGGCCTCACCGGCTTACCAGTATCATTCTGAGCTGCAACAAAACATCTACCCTATGGATCAACAACTCGACGCTCCTGGATCTTTGACATCGCCAGTGCATAGTAGCCTATCTAATCCGACCTTCATGGGTTGCCAGTATCCCGACGCAGTACAAGAGAATGGAAACTTCGATTACAGCAGTTTCCTTGAGACACCTGCATCTCCTTCGTCTCCAATGTACATTCCTGACGCTGCACCTGCTGAGATAATGGGCACCCAAACGGGGGGAGAAAAGCCCAGCTCATACTTGAGTGAGCTCTTCGAACAGCCCAACTTCAACCTCGCCTCTTTCGACTATGGCGAATATTCTCTGAACTACTAGCATTTGAGATCTCACTAGACTATGTTGCACTTGCACTCTCACATGTATTTGTACACGTCATTGCAATCGGGCCTCCGTCTACCTCGCAGTCGCTAGTCGACGACGAGAACGAAGAGGGAAATAAAAATACTCTAAAGAAGCATGAGGAGATGAACGACAGTAACAAGACGATAGCTACTACCGTCAAACTTTCCTCGAGTTCATAAACTGCGCTACAAGAAACAAAACAAAAATCTAGAAAAAATTATGCTTTTTTTCATCGACATCTATTTGCGCCTTAGGGCTTACTGCCTGCTACATCAGCCCCTATCTCCCTTAGACAGATGAGCAAAGGCTATCTCATCATACCGACTTTTTTCTTTCCTTCATGCTTTGTTTCTTTTCAATCTCCGGTTACACGCCAGCATAGTATCTGATCAACTCGAAATTCCGAGCCGCAACGGATGGGCGATGAGCAGGTGCGCCAGCATTCCCACAAGAAATGTATGATGGTTAACTAACACCTTCTAGGGCGTGTGGACGCACTGAATTTGATGAATATTGCCGAATCAACAACTCCCAACTTCTATACGAAAGATGAACCGAGATTTCTTTTCATATTTCCTACTTGATATTCCGTGCGAAATCGCGTTGGCTAGGTAGTCTTGAATGCATATTGCCCATTCTCGCTTGGAACTACTCAATACCAAGCTCGGCGAAGAGAAGAAAGAGAAGAACATGCCATAGCACGTCGTACCGTACCATATAGTAACCAATGGGATCGTCCCAGGAATTGAACCACCTTTTGGCGAAAGGGTCTTTGATGGCGAACACGAAGGAGGAGGAATTGAGATATGAAAACAATGGCAAACATCTATGGAAACAGTTGCAAGAAGGAATCAGAGAGAAGGAGAAAGACACGGATTGTCCCTCCGTAGATAGAGTAAGACGTAGAATCCTTTGCCTGGTATGGCCAGGTAGAAAACGAAGATACTCGATGCTTTGCTTGCCCACACTTCTCATTGAATCTACCGTATTGCGGCAACGCGTGGTATGTGAAGTTATTCCCGGCGTATCCGATAATGTCGTTCGTTGGCTACCTCTCGGGCGAAAGAGGGTTAGTTCCCTTGTGTGTATGAACTTTCGGATGTTACTTACCTATCTAAGAGTTTTGTTACGGCCCCAACCGTAAGCACCTATAAGCAACTGTAGATAGTCAAGTCGCCCGACTTGACAACGTTCCAGTCTTACTAGTGGTGTGTTGGCATGCTACTACGGTTCTGCTCCATGATATTTGCGCGGTTCTAAGTTCGCCCGGTATTTTTTGCGAGTTTGGAATATGAACAGCCATGGGATTCATGAACAGCCCAAGTAATTCGCATGAGGGGTGTGAGAATATCATCGATGGGGCCAAAGCGTCATGTGCTTGCGTGCCCCCCTGAATCGGGACACGAACAGCGTGTTGGAGCAATAGTCTCGTGTTTTCGGCCCAACGCCCGACAACTCTGGATATTTTTCTCCATCTTGTTTTTCTCTCCTATCGTTAGTTTTCGGGAGCACATTACTGAAAGTAGCGAGTACAAGAGCAGCTTGGCCCCGCCATTCCATGCAGGAAAACGGGTGTTAGTGCCTGTCTTTCCGGTGATGTGTCAGTACCGGCCGCCGGGATCCAGGGATGAATGGAGAACAACTGGCTGGGTATCTTGTTTGTCCCATGGTCGGATACCCACTTGGATCCGCCTCCTCGGTAAATATGTTGTATCCGTGCATATGTTGGTCTGTTTTTACTATGCCGTCCTCGCCCTATCATACAATGGTACGTGTTTATGCCTCATAAATAACTGGTAATGGCTACCTGTCTATGCTGCGCGCTATGACTCCCGAAATATCTAGTCCCGTGGATTATATGATCCTCAGCATCGCTGTAATCATACGATATTATATCTCTGTACCGCCCCGTCGTGCGGGAGCAAGGAGACGAATCTTCCTGCAGGAGTCCGCGAGCGATTTACCGCCAAAAACAACTCCACACGGGAACTGCCAATCTCCCTGCCCACGATCTGTGGTGCTTGCTCAGGCGAGCCATTGTGTTCGCTCGCCTTGATAATCCTGATAACGCACCTAATATTGGCCACAGAGGGAGTAGTGCAAAGCGTAAGAATGACTGGCTCTCCTTTATTGTCTAGGTTGTTATGTCCCACCGCCCAGGATTCCCATGGAATGTGAGTACCCCCCATTGGTACTACACTGTTCACGCTGACAATGGCGGTCGGTCTCCTATACGACCTATTGTATTTAGTGGCAGGAACAGCTACCTATCCCGGCCTATAAACTAACGTGACACGAGGCCGACGTGGCAAGGGCCGTGAGTGAATTCGAGGCTTTGACGGGATCGTACCGTCATACCTTCGCATTTGATATCCTGTGTTAAAATGGCTGGATGGAAATTAATAGGGGTAGACCCGGTGCTTAGGCCCTTCGTCTCCCCATCCAACATATAGTGTATGTCGTGATCCTGCAGTGTGCCTCTTCATCTATATCTGCCATGTTCTGGAGCATGAAGAGTACGTAGCAGTTACATGGCACGAACATGGAACATGGATGTTGCGCATGTGGAATAGCCATATCATGTCACAATTGTATTCCCCATACTACTTGCCTACGTACGTACTTGCTTGACCGTCAATGTGTAGGGATAGTAGGGCTACACATACATAGCTAAGACCTGGGCGCATTGTAGCCTCGGCAAAGCTTTACATTGGACCTAATCAGGTCATGATCATCATTGCCCTTACATACCGGTCCGTTCCATAACCCTAAGTAGAAACCATTAAAAAGAACTGAAAGAGGAGAGATAAAAAGAATTAGAAGTTTAAAAAAAAAAACCTTTAGTTGCTACTCCTAGTGAATCTAAGAGGCATCAGGAATTGAGCCCGATGCGGGGGTCGAACCTAAGTACACAATATTAGTATTCTTGATTCATATTCTAAGAAGCCCGAATTTTTGGCTACTCACCCGCAACCTTGAGATTAAGAGTCTCACGCTCTACCGATTGAGCTAACCGGGCGAGGCTAAGGGGTAGATAGGATTTTCCGGTACGCAAGCCAGCTTTTCTCACGATGTGACCAAAAATTTTGGAGCCGTGTGTGCCCTCTGGTTGGCGAGACTACCTACCTAATCTAGGCAAGAGGGCGAGATCTAACTGGTCCATGTGGTGGGAACCAATCTAGTTAGATTATAGTCTAGAGAACACAGCCAGAAACCTCCAAACACCCCTGATCCCTGGTTTCCGGTTTAGAATATTGGCTCTGTTGGATCGCATTGCTCTGTCGATCACTCACTCGTGACTAACAAGTAGGGCGAACATGTAAACCAAGGCCATAGAACGCAGTATAGAGATAACAATACGTGAAACCAGGGAATGCTACCTACACTAGATATTGATTTGAATTTCGAGAAACAAGGCGTTCGTTTAATACGCCGTCGGCGCAACTTACCATGTTAGTTAGGTGGTTTGAGCCATATCAGAAGTGCAATTTTTGATGGAGCAAGCGCTTATCTTCGTAGTACACAGAAGTGCAGAATGGGCAAAAGAGGAAATAATTTGATCCATTAGTGTATTAAACCTATAGTTCCAGTTTACTGACCATGCGGCGAAGAATTGCCTATTTCACGACATTACTCGCAGCACGTGGACAGTGGGGAAAGACCAGGGGATCAATATAAGAAGCCTTTTCATTACCGCGTAACTGAGTACATAGTAGAAAGAAAGTAAATGAATGGTGGTAGGCTATCTCAAATTCTACAAAGGTTGGTCCAGATGTTGAAAAGAGGACCCGGGAATGAAAATTCAATGAAAACCAACCTCAAAGGCTACATGCGCACGGCCTGTATATCATCCAATAATATCAGATACCAGGGCTAGGCAAGTAACAAGATAGGCGAGTGGCAAAATACCCGACCAAGAAAACCAATATCCCGGGACTTGTATTCATAGCGATACGCATAGCATGCCTGTCAGCCTGAATCCTCGAATCTCTCCAACCGCCTTGTCCTGCAGTAGACTAGCTATGCGACGATATTAGGATTCAGCTAGTTATTACCAAGTCGGCAGGCTCTCTTTCGAGCCGGTGGATCCCCGGACGCTCGCCTCGTCTTCGCTCTCGTCCTCGTTCTCGTCCACATCCTCGAAATAGGGCATGTCGACGACGACCTCGAAAGTTGGCAAACCATCTCTGGCCATCATTTCGAACAGGGCCGAGAGATCGGAGGCGACGACCCCCTGAATGTCATACACGACGCCAGCAACCATGCCCTTGCGCACATGTGCCGTCGGGCCTGCCGGGGTTGGTCTGCCACCATCCTTGTTGCTGAGCCTTGAAGCCTCCTTCACGCCGGGATCCTCGCCAGTGAAGTTTTCGGGGTGCTGGCGCACGGCCGCGATGGCCTTGTCCTGCAGCGCCCGGAGGGTTGGCTGAACATACGTCATGAACCGGTGTTGACCGTGGCCTACCCAGTGTACCGTAAGACCGACAGTCCAAATGTAATGCTCGCCGCGTTTGATGCCACCACAGTTAATGGCGTTGTTAATAGGGCCGGGTGGCACAGGTGGCCGGATGCCCCCCTGACTCACTGGGAAAGGAACCCTGTCTCCAGATAGATGAAGGTACGTGAAGGGATGTGCCCCGGGGATCGATGGCATTATACCATTCGGCATACGAGAGGGGTGGTGCGGGCCAGGTCCCATTCTTGCGGGATGGGGGTGATGCGGGAGTGGGGGCATGCCTCGAGTTAAAGGCGGCGGAGCGGAAGACCCGTTCGATCTGGAATGTGAATAGTAATAAGGGGGTGGCGCCTGTGGCCCCTGTGAGTAGACAAACGAGGGCGAATGAGGCCGCGCAGGGCGGACGGCGCGGAGGCGTGGGGGTGTTGGGCTTCCGGTGTCACGGGGGTTTCGCATTGTTGCTTCTGAGCGTGACCCTCCCACTGGCTCGTGGGGACTACCGGCTGATGTCGCGGTGCGGTTTTCTTGGTGGCCAGCTGGGCGTTTAACTTTGGGTGTTTCGTTGGGGTTTGAGGCGTGTAGCATTATGGCCTCATCACCAGAACTGCCCCATTCAGAAAGGGCAGCAGTTGAAGTGTCCGAATGACTAGAGATGACAGAGGCGGTATCGTCATCATCCCCGCTGGGCTCCAGCAATGCCGCCTTGAGATCGCGGGGAGCCGAGAAGCCATTTGTCGTGATGTAGTTGTGGGTTGCCTCGCATGACTTCGTGTGTAGAGATTCTACTGCCTTTTGGGCATTCACACAAAGTTCCGACGCCAGCATGACTTCACGAGTGTCCTCGTTGCATTTTATTGCCCACGCTTTGAAGAACTTGTCCAAGGGATCTTTGCTGATAATCATTTGGACCATGTCGTCTTTATTTACGAGGAACTCGCAGTTATCTGGAATTGTCCAATCAGAATTGGCCATGATCTTATGTCAGAGGTGGATTACTGACCCATGATTTGTGCCCGACTCTCAAGGACAAGAGTTGATGGGGGTGATACTCGAGGAGCCATTATGTTATCCGATTGGTAGTGAAGACGTGTGAGACTTGAATTTGGGGGATATTGGAGGAAGACGAGCATTGGGGAGAAAAGTGTGGAATAAATACTTTCAATTATCATGACCGGAGACTCCGGAGACCAAACCTTAAATAGTGATTTAGGTGCGCGGTGATAATGGCCTCCTGCAGCCACGCTCCTTTTGTGTGTCAAAGCTTGATGGCACCCATTGGTTCTTGGCGAGGCTGGAGGACACCTTACGAGACGTTGCCGGTCAGAAAGTCCTGTAACCATTTCACTATACACTATACTTATGCCCAGGCTCTTGGAACGTAACTCAAGCCCCGAGAACAGGATGTCAGAAAACCAATGACTAAATTACTACACAGCATACGGGCATGTCTAGATCCTGGCAGCGTTGGACAATGCTATCTCAAGTAAGACCTACCAGTGTAGAATGTGGCACGACCCTCCACAGAGAGAGATTGGCAGATTCAAAGGTGAGATAGTAACACAACCGACATACTTCAAAATGGAACCGGATAGGTGCGTTTGCACGTCGGCGGGTATGTAGTAGCTACATCTCACTGCAAACGCCCATCCTCATAGTAACCTAAAAGTGCCCCGGGCCTAGGGTTCCTGTAGAGCCGCGCGTCGAGGGGGGAAAACAATAAGCAATTTAGGTGTCGGTTCTATGGAATTCAACAGAATAGAAACCTAGACGTAGGTGCAAAGGAACCTGCCGCGCATGTAGCTACTTCCTCGGGGGACGGATGTCATTCGGAGTAAGTTTAGAAAGTGAGGCGAGCAGAGTTGGGGGCGCCGGCTTTTTGATAACACCACCCTGGGAATCCCAAACAGCTCATCTCTCTCCACACCGGTGGCGACATTGATTTTGGCAGCGAAGGCATCCCGTCAGGAGGGATAGCACATTGATATGTCCCTCTTGGGCGGCCGATATAATAAGGCGAATTTGACTTGGTTGCACTTCTTTCACTCTACGCTGTAAGTGTACGGCTTGCTGGATGTGCGTTTGAGACAAAGCCAATGACGACGGGTTACTCAGACGTCATAGGTCAATGAGGCGAGGCTGCAAGATGGCTGACGCTATCGGCCGCACCAACAGCACCAACATGCGATACGGCGCCACACGATCGTAATTGTAGGGACAATGGCGTACATTGAACTACCATGCAGCCAAGGCATTCGATGTGGAAGCACCACGGTGGTGTCTACGCTGACCACCTTCGAAAATTGTTGAACATTACACTGTTTTGACCACCAATCATCCTGCACTTGTGCTGACACGAATAGTATTGTCGTTTTACAATTATACATTGCTTGATGAGGACGGATGAAACCAACCTTGAGTGTTTTTGGTGTGTCTACCCAACCACCGCTAAACGTTCTAGCCTTGACTTGACCGCCTCGACTAACGCTGTTTCTCGCTCTAGAAGACCCTTGACTTGACCGATCTTTGCGCGCCTGAGCTCTGACGGAATGCGCAGATCATCCCTTGAAGCACTTGAGTTGTCCTCCTCTTCACTGGCCGGTGCTTCCAGTGCTTGAGCTTGCTCCACAAGCTCGTCTTTTAGCACTGTAATCCTCCGATACCTGTCTATCAACTGCTTGGCCCGATTTTGCCCATCTGCCGTTTGAGCCGATTCGTTGATGCCGACACCCAGAGCCTTGACCTCCGCGACCCAGTCCTGCTCTTTTTTGCTAAGCTCCCGATTCGTAGCCTTGTTGATCGTTTTTCTCATTTTTTCTAAACGCCGACTAAGAGCCTCTCCCTTTTCCTTAGCGTTTTGCAGCCGCCTCTCGATGGCAGCATTGCTTGACTCTGGTTCTTCGCCCTCCTCAACCTGATCTTCACATGTGATAGCTTCGACTCTTGCCTTAACTTCGTTCGCCTTCGTGATTTGCTGTTTCAGTTCGTCTTGGAGTTTTACGCAGCGCAGGAACACTTCCGAAGCGGCAACCCCGAGCCTGTGTGTCTCGTCGCTAAGGACTTGGTGGGCCTCGGTGAATAGCTGCAAAGTAAGTGGTGAAAGTCGGATTTCCTGGTTCATGATCGTCTTGTAACGACTTGTGCGGAGTTTCTCAATGAACCCAGGGAGTGCTGAGCTTTCGTCGAATGCGTGAGATGGCTGGTAAACAGGGCGGGGTTCAAAAAACTCCAAAGGTCGGACTTCGGCATCTTGACCAAAGGATGGCGAGGCAGATCGAATAGGCACAAAGTCTTCATCGGGGCTGTCAAATATCAGAGCAATTGGCTCGAATGGTGTGGCAGACAACAGGAAATAACCAAGGTCAGGGTCTCGGGTGGCAACTGCTGCACTCAAGGGTAACTGCGTATGGGTCTGAGTTGGACTATTGTAGAGTCGTTCTCGCGTAGAAACCTGGCCATTGACGAGAAGATTAATCCTGAATTCAGAGCCTGCCTCCGAATCGCCTTGAAGTTCGCTCTCGAGGCGGAAAACCCAGGGTGCCAAAGAAATATACGTTATGCTAGAA